CCCTTCCGAGTAGCTGGAATTACAGGCGTGCGCTACCACGCCCGGCTAATTTTTTGATTTTATTGTAGAGATGAGGTCTTGCCTACCCAGGCGGGTCTCGAACCCGTGGGCTCAGGCAATCCACTCACCTCAGCCTCCCAAAGGCGCGGGATTAAAGGCTGAGTCACCGAGCCCGGCTAAGAGTTACATTTAATTAGTGAGTGTGAGGGTATAATTGCCAGAAGTCCCAAACTCTTGTAAGAGCAGGTATGTAGTCAAGAACTCTGTATTAACACATTTCCTAGACTTCTTTAAGAATAAGGGCTGAAGTTTTCAGAGACTGGACAAAGTGAGTCTCTCAAAAAGAGAAAAATATTTAACAGAAAATATAGCAGTTCTGGGACTTGATAGTGAGCACATTGGGTATTCATGCCCCAACCTTGATAATTCTTAAAGAAATTTTTTTCTCTCCTCAGATTTACTCAGTTTGCCTCCTTTTCTCAGAGCACTTTGCACATGTTCCTAAAACATTTATATTACCATGTCTCTAATGGTACTTAAATCTGGAAACATTTCTGCATGTCTTTTAGGCATCTTTTAAGTGTAGACAGTAAAAAAATCATAATCAATGTAAGTGTCAGCAAAGAGAAACTGAATCCCACAGTAAACTAAGAACAAATATGTTCTAAAGAAAGTATCAGCTAATGTGTGTGGATAGAGTGCCATATTTTAAGGTGTTGTTAGGTAAAAGATTCTCATAAGTTGCATCAAAGCTGATTTGACTTGGATGATGTATAAGGCTTCAAATGATAATCATTTTATATAAATGTTTATAGTTACTAGAAGAGAAATACCTAAATAGAAGTCATATTTTGTGAAGTATAATGCAGTAATGTCCCAAGATGTGACCATTTGTGTTAGAAGACGTTTACTTTTACAAGGAGTTTCATTTAGTGCCTACTTTTACTTGTGAATAACTTTACATCTCAATAGCCACTAAGCCAGTTGACATTTGGTATGAGCCGTCATTTGGTCATCTTATCTTAGTGGTTTATATTATAGTTGGTTAAGTGTTACCTTTAGGAGAAAGACAGATTTACTAGTTTATTATCAGTGATAAACTTTCTGCATTATGTCCCTTATATAATATATTGTTTTAATTGACTTATTTTAGGGTTTTTTGTGAAATAGTGAATCACAGTATGACTGAGCTCTTAAGTGACCCATATGTAGTAGCATAGACAGAGTTTAAGAGCCACACTGTAGGACAATTCATGAAGAGAGACGTTTTGTTAAATTCTGTTACAGTAATTAACGGTATAATAACAAGTAAAGTAAGCATGTCTATGTTAATTGGATTGGTGATGTCTTATATAAGTGGGTATTAGGGTTGGTGCTTAGGGATACAAAGATTTTTTCTATTAAAATTTAAACTTAAGGTAGTTATGATTTAGACATAGCTGTAGGGGAGAGTGCTTTAGGAACAAATTTCACTTGTAAAGCTGGAAAATGGAGAACTTCTAGAAAAAGTTTACTTAGTATTGTACTTTTGACTTTTGTTACTTGAATGTTTGAACTTATTTTAATTTCTCCTTTTTCTTGATATTGAAATAAAATGTCAGTTAGGAATACTTTGTTATAAAACTGACTTTTTTTTCTCCCCCTCTAATACAGAAGCTCCACCATGAGGCGAGGTGGATGGAGGAAGCGAGCTGAAAATGATGGCTGGGAAAAATGGGTGTGTTTTAAAAGAGTAAAAATAACTATATTGAATTGTCTAGGTATTTTTCTTTTTTCTTTATTTATAATGTGGTTTAAGATGCTTTCTAAGTTGTAAATCACTTTAGAAACAAGCTCTTTTAGTTTTCATAATGTATTGGAAGCTTTTAAATGCTTATAAACTTTAACCCCTAAACTTTACTCTCAGGAATTTTATCCTAAGAAATAAATATGCTAGTGTATAAAAATTTATTATATGATGATTTTATTGCAATGTTGCTAATAAATACTGAAAAATAGGAAAACACAAATATCCAATAGTGGGGGATTGGTTACATAAATTGTATATACATAGTGGAACACTGTGCAGTCATTTGTAGCTTTATATTTCTTTTTCTTTTTTTGAGTTGGAGTCTCACTCTGTCGCCCAGACTGGAGTACAGTGGCCACTCCCAGCCACTGCAACCTCGACTTGCTGGGCTCTGGCGATCCTCCTGCCTCAGCCTTCCAAGTAGCTGAAAATACAGGCCCGCGCTACCACACCCGACTAATTTTGTTTTTGATTTATTGTGGAGATGAGGTCTCACCAAGTTGCCCAGGCGGGTCTCGAACCCGCAAGCACAGGCAATCCACCTCAGTCTCCCAAAGCACGGGATTACAGGCTGAGCCACCAAGCCCGGCTAGCTTTATATTTCTTAACCAGAGAAGATAGCCTTGACTAAAATAGCGTATCATAAAGGAATATCAGGTATAACCTGCTTTTTGTAAAACCTCTATGCTCTGAGATATAGAAATAAGCTTTGAAAATAACTCCCCAAAATGTTAATGAATGAGAGCATAGTAATTTTAATTTTTTTCTTTATAGTTTCTATGTTTTCCAAAAAAAATTTTTATATTGAACATAACGTGTTTTTTTTTTTTGAGTTGGAGTCTCACTTTGTCGCCCAGACTGGAGTAGTGGCTGCTCCCGGCCACCGCAGCCTCGACTGCTGGGCTCCGGTGATCCTTCCGCCTCAGCCTTCCAAGTAGCTGGAACTTCAGGCGCGCGCTACCACGCCTGGCTAATTTTTTGATTTATTGTAGAGATGAGGTCTCACCAAGTTGCCCAGGTGGGTCGAACATAAAATATTTGAATAGTGAAAACAATAAAGTCGTTTTCATTTTGGGAAAAAAGGATGTACCAACTTCTAGCCACCTACAACTTTTTTTTTTTTTAACCTCCTCTGGAGTCAGGTCTCACTGTGTGTCACCCAGGCTGTAGTGCGGTGGCATGATCATGGTTCACCTCAACCTTCTGGGCTCAGGTGATCCTTCTGTCTTAGCCTCCTGAGTATACAGCTTTAAATTTAAATATCTAATAATTCAAATCAATCAAGCTTAATTATTTCAAGGTTCAGGAAGAGTGTAGCTAAATTCATAGATCTGTTAAAGTGTTAGCAAAAATAATAATTTTTTTTTTATTCTTTACATGATGGGTGTTACCTAATGAAAGTTAGTACTACCGTCAAATAGATTGGTTAGATCCAGAATTTAGTCACTGGAGCATTCATTATATTCTTAAACCACAAGTATGGAGGGCTGCACTGGTTTGTTGAATTTCTTAATTTTACCAGTAGTAGTTCAACGTAAGTTCCCTATATATAGGAGATAGTGGAAGACAGTTTAAAATATGCTCTTAGAACACTTGTCAAACTTCTCGGGTTTAAACTTTGGTGTAACTTGCTCAATTATGTACATAAGAACGGTATTTTCTGGTATTAAGTTTATTATTATTGACTTGGCTTTTTTCTTTTAAAAGTAACTTTAATTGGCCAGGTGCAGTGGCTCAAGCCTATAATCCCACCACTTTGGGAGGCCGAGGCGAGAGGATTGCCTGAGCCCAGGGATTCAAGACCAGCTTGGGCAACTTGGCGAGACCTAGTCTCTACAATAAATCAAAAAATTAGCTGGGTGTGGTAGCACACGCTTGTAGTTCTAGCTACTTGGAAAGCTGAGACAGAAGAATCGCCTGAACCCAACAGGTCGAGGCTATAGTAGCCATGAGCAAGCCACTGCACACCAATTTGTGCAACAGAGTGAGACTCCAACTCAAAAAAAAAAAGTTACTTTTATCATCATAAGAATATAATAACATTATTAAAAATCGAGTTGACAGAGGGAAAAGTCTTCCTTGATCTATCTGCTTTATTACCTTGCCTTATGGTTCATGTTCATGAGGATATCATTATATCTTGGTCACTAGCACAGAATAAGGTCCTTTTTGTTTAGTTAGTTTTTTTAAAAAAAGAAGAGGGGAAGAAAATGTAACTTTTGTGATTGGTTTACCTTTTCTTTATTTCTAGGGTGGGTATATGGCAGCCAAGGTCCAGAAATTGGAGGAACAGTTTCGATCAGATGCTGCCATGCAGAAGGATGGAACTTCATCTACAATTTTTAGTGGAGTTGCCATCTATGTTAATGGATATACAGGTTAAGTACTTTTTACTTTTTAGGTACCCTGTTCTGGCATGTACTTTTATTAGGATTGACAATGGCTTGTTTGAAAATTCTGTTTGTTCTTGTTTATCAGATTATATATATATATATATATATATATATATATGATTTTAAAATAATAAAAAATAAAATTTTCTGCGCCCAGGTATTCTTCCGCATATCATTTCCATGCTGCTTTTACCTGCCATTTTTATTTTAATTTTTATCAAAACATATAGTTTAAAAAGTCAAATGAGGTTTAATGTAGATCCTCTTGCTTACACGGTTGATTGGGAATTCATCCCACATGAGTGGGGCTTGTGACCTGTGAGTTTCGGTGTAGGGCCATTTCATTGGTAAATCTCCAGCTGTAATTATCCATAGCTCCACACATAGGGGTGTGTGTTTGTGTGAGAAAGAGAGATAGAGAGAAATTTCCCAGAGAAGAATCTTTTGGACTCTTGACTAGAGAAGGGTATAACCAGCATTTTGGTGGCCAAGGAGGAAGGAAAGACCCAGCATTCTCACAGTTTGAGAAGTAGAATTTAACCTTTTTTTTTTTATTATAATGTATCTCTTGCCTACTTACGCCTGTTGTCATTGAATCCAGTAGTCTAGAAGGGTTAGGGTAGTCTTTTTGTTTTGTGAGTGGATGAAGAAATCTGGGGATTCTAATTTGTTGCATGGTTTGAACCATGAGCTTCCAATTATAAAAGACTTATCCACACACTCACTTTTGGAAGTGCCAGTGCCTCTATTTCATGAGTTTCTCTTGGTTTTACTGGCAGCAACCAGGCTCTTCCATAGAGCCAGCTTAGTTCTCTTTCTCTGAATTGCAAAGTCAGCTAGCACTTATCTGTTAGTTATCAGATTTTACTCCTAATGTTTTCTCTCTATTCTTTTGGGGATCCCTCTCCTTTTAATAATTAATATTTTTTGAAGAAAATGGCAGCAAAATTTGTATCAGTCTGTTACATTTATCTTTTTCCACTTCTCAATGCCTCTGGCAATGCCTGCTTATCCCTCAGGGTTCTGTACTTGACTTCCCTGTGATGATCTAATTGTTTTCTTCCTGGTGCAGGTGATTGCTCATACTCCCCCGGAACTATGGCTCATTGAGTGAGTTTTCATCTTAGCATTCACTAAACCTTCTTGTTGCTTCCTGGATAAGAGTATAAGCTACATTTTCACTACTATATCCTCGGTACCTCTGCGGTGACTGGATACAGTCATTCAGGAAATAGTTGTTGAACTAAAGTTAAGTGTTAGGTAACTGGTATATTTGTCTGGTTTAGTGAGAGTAGAGTGTGTTGGTTGTAATTAAGAGTTTTATTAGGCATCATTGACAGTGAATTTAGTCTAAGAATGTTATCTCAAAATACTGCTGGTGCAACTTTAGGAAGTTTGTATGAAGAAAACTTGTGGCCAAATGTGTTGGCTCACACTTATAATCCCAGCACTTTGGGAGGCTGAGGTGAGAGGACTTCCTGAGACCACAGGTTCTAGACTCACTGGGCAACTTGGCGAGACCTCATCTCTACAATAAATCAAAAAATTAGCCAGGCGTGGTGGCATGTGCCTGTAATTCCAGCTACTTGGAAGGCTGAGGGGGGAAGGGTCACCTGAACCTAGCAGGTTGAGGTTGTAGTGACCATGAACGAGCCACTGCACTCTAGCCCAGGGGACAAAGTGAAACTCCCAACTCAAAAAAAAAAAAAAACAACTTTGTAACTTTTCTGCTTAGATATCCTGATGAATTCAAGCTCCATGGACTTTCCTGAGGTGTCCTATAAAAGACTAAATGTTCATAAAAACTAACATTGCTTGTTAATTAACCAGTTACAGAAGTCTTCCAGTACATGAGGGTGGCCTTATTCATATTAAGATGAAGGAAAAGAGATTCTTTGTGTGAGAGAGAAAAGATTTAATATTGTATTCATCACCTCCTTGGTTGAGAATCTGGAATTTTAAATCTGATTTTGTTACTAATTTTTGTGTTACTGTAAGACATTTTTTTATTTGGTCCCATTATTATCTCTATCTTTTTCTTTAGGAAATTGATAATATTTTTGTTCTTGTTATAGTTAGAATTTTGTTATAATTCTACAAATAAAGCTCCATTGTGTTGAATTTCACAGTGACATCCAAATTGCATTATAAAATAACTTAAAAAAAATGTTTTTTTACATGCTGAGCATGGTGGCTCAGTTATCCCAGTACTTTGGTAGGCCGAGGTAAGAGGATTGCCTGAGCCCGGGGGTTCAAGACCAGCCTGGGCAACTTGGTGAGACCTCATTTTTACAATATATCACACACACACACAAAACTAGCCCAGCGTGGTGGCGTGAGTCTGTAGTTCCAGCTACTTGGAATGCTGAGACGGAAGTATCACATAAGCCCAAAAGTCGAGGCTGCAATGGCCGTGAGCTTGCCACTGCACTCTGGCCTGGGTGACAAAAGTGAGACTCCAACTCAAAAAAAATTTTTTTTTCAGCTTTAGTGAATAATTTGCAACTTGATGACTTCTGTGTAATGAATGAGCAAGTAAAGGGTTAACATTTTAGTTACAGTAAGACAAGTAGGGGTGCTGTTTTGTTGTTGATGCTTAACCATGAGCCCCACGGACTTTAATATTCCAATTCTCCAAGTTCTGCCTTAGCCTCTCAGAGCCCCCATCCCTTCCATCCCAATTGGCATTGAACTTGTGCTTAGGGAGAAGATCCCCCCATCTGATACTTTGTCTGCATTGACTCATTCTCTTCCCCACCCCCAAAATGTCTTTTCCTTATTAACTTGTTTGCCTTCTACTTGTTTTTTAAATTAAACTGTTTTTTAAAGATAACTGTATATTCACATGTAGTTGTAAGAAATAATACAGAGTGATACCCATGAACCTTTTACCCAATTTCCCCCAATGGTAACTTCTTATAGACAACTAGGAAACTGACATTGATACAGCTAAGATACAGAACATTTCCTACCAAAAAGATCTTCACTTATTCTTTTACAGCCATACCCGCTTTCCTTCTGCTCTCAGCCTGTGCTTAACCCCTTGCAACCACTAACCTGGTCTCCATTTCTATAATTTTGTCATTTCAAGAATGTTACATAAATAGAACATGAAGTATGTAACTTTGGGATTGGTTTTTTTTTTTTTTAACTTAGCATCAATTCTCTGGAGATTCATCAGAGTCATTGCCTTTTTATTGCTGAGTAGCATTTCATAGTGTGGATGTGCCACAGTTTGTTAACCATTCGCCCACTAAAGGGGCATATGGGTCATTTTCTGGTTTGGGCTATGAACATTTTTATACAAGTTGTGTGTGAATATAAGAGTACAATTGTTAGGTCATGTGATAGTTACATTATTAGTTTTATAAGAACTGTTAACCATAGTGACTACAATTTTATATTCCCATTAGCAGTCCATGTGTAGTAATTCACTTTCTTTGCATCTTTGCCAGCATGTAGTATTTTTTATTTTATCCATTTTAATAGATGTGTTGTGGTATCTCACTGTGGTTTTAATTTGCATTTGCCTTTTGGCTAAAAATGTTGAACATCTTTTCATGTATTTGCCATCTTTGCATCATCTTTGGTGAAATGTCTGTTTATGTTTTTTGCTCATTTTCTAACTGGTTTGTTTGAGTTTTGAGAGTTCTTTATGTATTCTAGGTACTACTTCTTTGTCATACAAATATTTTCTCCTCGTCTGTAGCTTGGCGTTCATCCTCTTGACATGGTCTTTTGCAGAGCAAAAATTTTTAATTTTGATGAGGTCTAATTTATGAATCTTTCCTTTTGTGGATTGTGCTTTCAAGTCTAAAGATTCCTTGCTTAGTATCAAATCCCAAAGATTGTCTCTTGTTTTTTTTTCCCTAAAAATTTTAGCTTTGTGTTTTACATTTAAGTTATATCCATTAAACCTGTGAATAAATTTGTGGAGTATTGACATCTTTGCTGTGTTGAGTTTTCTAGTCTACAGACCTTCCATCTCATTTTATTCTGCTTTAGCTGATTGAACAGATATATTTGGATGCCGCTTGTGTGTTAGGAACTATGTTTGAAAAGATGGCAGTTGATGGAGAATGTGGATTTTGTGATGAAAAAGTAATCTCTGAGAGCTAGACATGAGCAGAGGAAAAAGAGTGACAACACAGAAGAAAAGAAGCAATTGCTTTTGAGAGTTGGAGTGAATACTTCATAAAGGAATGGACATTTTTAGCTGGATCTAAGCTAAATAGGCATTATATAAATGAAATGGGTAAAGGCATTCTTGTCCTAATACAAACATACATTTTCACCCTTACATTCTCTAATTTTAGTCAGAAACTTACTCTGTTCTAGATTTGTCTTTTTACTTTTGCAGGTCTATATTTCTTTTTGTTCCTTTACCTCTAATGAAAAGCTCCTTACCTCTTTCCCTTCTGTGAACTAGAATTATTTTCATTCATTAAAACCCAGATAAAATTAGATGTTACCTCCTTCCTTATCTAAGCCAGTCATTGTATTTAAATTTTGTAGCACTATTGCGAGAAACGTTTATCACCTGAGTTTTGTATTGGATTGTCAGTTCTTATTTGTATATTAAGCTCTTGGGAGTCTGGTAACCGCTTGATAAACATGGATTAGAGATAATACCTCAAGACCTTAAATCTGCTGTTCGTTTGCTTCCCTGAGTCTTCGTCATTTGGGTGTCTGCTCAGATGCTGCCTCTTCAGAGACCTTTCCTCACTACCCGTCTCTAAAATATGTTCTTTTGCCCTCCAGTCACTCTCTGACCCCTTACCCAGCTTTCTCTTCATTGCATTTATTTGCACCTGAACTGAACATTTGTATGACATTATTTTCTCTCTCCCCACTGGAATACAAATATTACCATGTGGCACAGACTTGAATCTTACTCATTGTTGTATCTGCAGTGCCTACGATCTTGCCCGGCACATTGTAGATGCTCAGCACATATTAATTAAGTAAATGAATAAATAGGAAGG